ATGCTATTGCTGATAGATAAGATCATCCATTATGTGACAAATTTACTGACACATACACAAATAACCAATGTGTATTTTCATGTCTTGGCACAGATTGAGCTGCCTTGGACATTTCTGTTATTACATACTCGAGTAAAAGTAAACATACATATAATTGGATTGTTACTTTTTACTGGGCGTCTTTCATGCGCACAAATAAATAGCATAAATAGCTGGCGTAGCGGCGAAAACAGTATTTGATGCCAAGGCTCGAACTACCAAAATATCCAATGAGGCAATGGATGGCATGTAGATGGGAGAAATACGTCCCCGAAAGGGGATAGCTTGTTTTGAACTACTTGGTGTATTTGTTGGAGGGGAGTCGGATTAGTCGCATATCGTAAACTCATCGTGCAATGGACTGAGAGCACAGGTGAGGTTTAAATTACATATGAATACCGTCAACTAATGTCAATATACTCCTGGCGTCTTGTATTGAATGTTAAAATGAGGTATAAACCAGAGAGAAATGTTAAAGAACTGTATTTTATTTTTTATTTATTTTGGTTACTTGTAAAGACTATTTGTAAGCAAGTCCAGTGAAAAAGTGTGACTTGTCTTCTTACATATTTTGCCTAAAACGCCATGTTAATTGATTTAGAAGTGATTTTAGAAACTACAGTAAATAAAGTAGTAACTTTATAAGGTGTTATATTTTAATGAGTTTTCTATTCTACAGCCCACTTCTTTTATACTTTATTATATTATATATATTTGCTAGTACATTCTCAATTTCATGTTCAGACCACCAGACACGGGATACAGATCTGAACATTAGCAATGAATATGCTGCATCACAGTATATTTATTTTAAGCGAGTCTATCGGTCTTGCGACGAGTTTAAATACAGTCGTTAGTGAAGTAGTTCGGCGATATTCGGGTACATACCGGTAGTGGCTTTTCAAACATTCATTGATCAGGGGACTGATTTTCAGAACTAAGGAGAACGTTTGGCCAATATAATGATAACTTCAACGAGAGAAAAATGTCTATCATTGAGGCAAAAAAGATCTGTCCTTGCCCTAGAGAAATTAATATTTATTAAACAATTCTCAATACACGCAGTAAATTTGATTTGACTACATCTACTAAAAAAAAGAAACAAACATTTCTCCATTATATCACATGTGGCGCACTTGTGGCGTTTGCATTACACTATCACTGTAAGTGTGGTGCAAAACCTATTTTTTAGATATTCAAGTTGATGCGATATAGTTTGGTGTGTGTGAAAGTATGTAATTGTGAAACATTTGATTGAATAACAATCCCATTTGCATAAATCCAATATGGCCGTCAAAATAGTATCATTTAAATGTGAAACCTCGGGCGGCCCCTCAGAGTATGTTTCTCGTAATGACTCCGTGAGCCATGCCATGGGGTGAGGGGGGCATCGATCCTAGTGACCAGATATTCGATCCTGAAACAGTCACTCTCAGTAGGACAGCCACTTCTGAGATCCATAGTCCTGCATTCGGTATTGCTTTGAATTCCGCCGAGTGCTGAACGAAGAGGGGAACGCACAGACGGTGGCGGACCTTGGTCCCCCGTGGGATAGAGGCCTTAGGGTAGGTACATTTTATGCTCAACCTTTTCAGCTGGAGACAGCGCTACCTGATCGAGCAGTGTTTGAGACCTGAGCAAGCAGAGTCTGGAGTCAAATCTCACACCCCAATCGGATCCTCCCCCGACTACGGTACCACGATTTGGTTGGTTCAGTGGGACGGGCAAAGGGGATGGCCACGTTCATGGAATATTTCGACCGGTGAGTCTGAAACAATCCACGCACTGAGAGTAGAGTGGCGACCTCAAAATTCGAGTTGTGGCCAGCCTACTGGAACGAATTGTTTTGAGCCGCCATCACTCTGAAGTCTCAATGGCGGAACGCACCAGCCTAGCTCCTAGACCACCAGACACAGCCAATGGCTGGGGACACCACATGGCTAAGCGGGATTTTCTGCAATGTCATCTGACTCACTTGTCAGGGGCTACCTCTGTACAGCGGAATGCGATTCGCCATGTTAGGCCAAGTAGTCGAGCGCAGGGTGCTCCCCTTCAGGTTTTGCATGGCTTCATACATATTCACAAGAGTGTGGAAACGGTGGTGCTACTGCTGCACCGGTACACATAACATCGATACACATCAACGTGTATCTAGATGGATGGTTGCTGCACAACCTAACAAGAGTGGTTAGTCAAACTGTAAGGCTAACACCAGATTTTCTAGACCAGTTGTGCTTCCTAGTAAATCGAGCAAGTCTTACCCTCATCCATCACAACAGTTAGTGTTCCTGGCCAGGGAGTTCGACACGGGGGTGGGCTTTGTACGGTCGCCGCAGGCCCGTTGCCTAAACGACCTAGCCAAATGCCTAGTCAACGTTTCCTCTGTGTCCCTCCGAGAACTAATGAGGATCATCGGAATGATTCAGCGGTTCACAGGGTAGTTCCCCCAGGCCGTGTTAAGCAGCCGCCTGTTACAGCGCACTTTTGTTGCAACACCAGCCTCTTCTATGGGAACTACAGAGGCGATCACGAGTAACACTCTCGGACCAAGCAAAGAATACCTTGCCCTGGTGGTCGGCAATTGCACACCTCAGGCAGGGGGTTTCCTTGGACCGACTCGCACGGCTATGACTCTGTAAACAGATGCCTCCCTTACATGTTGGGGAGCGCAACTATTGGACGAATAAGCCCAATGGAAAATATGGTCCCTGCGTTAGATTCAGAACTGCCATATCAACTGGCTCGAACTGATTTGCGATTAGCACTAATTCACTTTCTACCCAGAGTTCGAGACCACAGAGTCTTGTACGGTCAATAGCTACAATAAGGGGGACTAGATCCCCATCGTTGTCAGTCCTAGCAGAGCAAATTCTCTATTGGTATCTGGAATACAATGTGGAGCCCAGCGGTGTACCACTTACACGCATCAAGGCTCTCAGTTGGCTCACTCATATTTTTTCTGAGTGGGCTGCCAACGTCCTTGCCAGGGCGAACATCCATGTCATTCTATTGTTGGCCCGACAGCTGACTTTTCGTCCATTGTTTGAACGATTGTTGGCTATAGGTCAGCCTTGTCACCCACCATTGGGATTCTCCTACCATTAGGAGACTGTTTACTGTTTAATCAGAGGCTAGACCCCGAATGAGGGAACCAACCAATTGGAACTTATCGGTTGTGTTGGCCGCTCTAAGCAGACTGCCCTTTGAGCCTCTCCGATCCACACGACTCAAACTTTTGATGTGGAAAACAGTCTCCCTACTCACCCTCGACTCAGGTACACGTCGGGCTGAACTAGGGGCCCTGGCCTTCTCGGACGTGTGTGTCGTCATTCCTGTAATGACTGACAAGGAGGCAGCACCTGAATTTCTCTTGAGGAATGTGAGATGCAACTGCTCCAGAGACTGTTGCAGTCTCAGATGTACCTACAGAAAGCATAACCTTGAATGTTCTGCACTTTGTGGTCAATGTCGAGAATCTGGATGCACAAATGTAGTTCAGATATCTGATGAAGATAGCGATGACGATTAGCAATTACATTAATCAAACAATAAACTTTTGGACAGATTTTTTTTTTATTTGATACAGTTTGTAAAATAAAAAATATAGGTTATAGAGTTGAAAATTTACGTTTAAATGGTCTATTATGTATATAGTATAATAGATTTGTAGATCCAACCAAAGTGTTTCATTCCACTAGTTTTTTTTTTCTTTTAGATGTGACGGCCATGTTGGAGTTATGCAGATGAAGCATCCGTCTACCCTGGAAACCATTTATTTACATCTTTTCTGTACTGTACGATTTTGTTTAAAATTGTATTCTAGCATTTTAAACTTATTACTTATGCCACATAGAAGAGAAGCCGGAAAAGAAGTTACATTAAATAATTACATCATCGCGGCCATATTGGATTTATGCTAATTTTAATCTATCCAATCAACATATTTGGCACTCTCATACCTTCTCTGACTCAAAATAGTATCAAAGCATCATGAATTTTTAAAATACCTCATCTAGAATTAAAGAAATGTCCAAATAGTTATTTTTCCATGTTGTAAAAATGTGCAAAACGGCCATTTTGAATATATGCAAATTAGGTATATTTCGGAAGCCTAGATTTTCCTAGCTGGTAGTATGTCAATCTAGATACCTTTCCGAAAAGCACTGTGAAGAAATTATTTCTGTTGCAATTTGTGATGAGTTGCTAGAATGACTTGACTAAAAGATACGATACGAAACGTAAAGTGTCGACTATTATGTGCAACTAATACTATTTCAATGTAGTGTCTTATCGTCCTGTTCGTTCGATATACATGTTTAAGTTTATTTGAGAACAGTGTATTACGTTCAACGTAGTGAATATAAAAGCTTACAATTCACGAGAGACTATTCACGACTGCAATAAACCGTTTATGCAAATATATTTGTTTTGTTGCATAAATGGGTCACATATAACCATCCGCTACAGCCATTATATCCACCCACGACAGTCTATAAAGAAATAGCATGTTTCAGTTGAATTTCGTAAATCTGTGAAATTATTCTTCACATTTTTTGCCATTGAATCCGAAAATCACAGATATATTTATCAAATATATTTTTGTTTGTAGCCTTTGACGTATGAAGTACGTGACACATACTCACTGTAAGAATTGCGATATTCTCAAGATATGAGTCAGGAATTGTTAGCAAACAGCTAAATATTCTCAAGCATTTATGTATATTTTGCTGTGATCCAGTTTTCAACATGTCTATGTTATTATTTAAAATTTGATGAAACGTTTTCGGATTTGTTTAATAAACACCCACTTCATATGCACTGATCCTACTAACATCTTTGCCGAAAGCCAATTTGAAAACTGCGTTGTCTTTTGGGTTCAAAATAAAATGTTTTTTTCGTAATAAATAGTATACAAACCATCACATGTTTTCTTTAATAAAAATTCATGTTTTTTTGTGTAGATTCCAGCACCCAGTCACCTAATTTAAGGACAGCACAGTTGACAGCTATACCGTCTACTACAGCAATTGTACATGCATCGACAATGAAGCCTCCCACCTACATCAGAGGTAATAATAATAATAATATTGGAATACAGTTTAGTGAACAACAATGTTAATACCTAACAACATATGAATTTGTATATGAGACTAAACCCACTGGTAGCACTTTCAAATTGTTCGGCATAACTTTGGATTTGTGAGGTCACGACATGTGCTCATGCTATATATATAATTTGTGTTTGATTTGTATAATAGTACATCACCGCGTGAATGACACTGTTGAATTTAATATATCGTTCCACATATAAGTTAGCAGTCGCCCAAATCTCGTAGTAGTTGAAGTGCATGAATAAATCGGATATTATCGGATACGTTTGTGTCTTGTTTGTGGCGTATCCATCGAACTGTGCTTTTCCGGGATCAATTTGCGATATTGTTACCAATTAATGAAGCTGGTGGTATTTACACTGAATTCAATGTCTTCTTCATGCACAAAATGTTCATTCATGATTTAAAAGTGTATTTGTTTTCTCTGCATATTTGCTTGTTTGCATGCAAATGTTGCACAGTCAACAATCATCGCCTACTGAGTCACATTGGGGGATTTTCAAAAATATGCTGCATAGAACTTCAAAATATGCGTAACATCTTATTGTAATATAAACGAATTGTCCCATTTTTTTGACTAACAATTTTCTAATTTTGCAGGAGGCACATCATGGCTTACGTGGGAGCAATGGACAAACTGTGATGTTACGTGTGGTGTAGGTGTCCAGATACGAACTAGATCATGCTACACAACACTGTCTACCAAAATATGCACCGGAAATCCACAACAAGCACGGACTTGTGCTGATTGGGAATGTCCAAGTAAGTATAATGTAGAGCATATATATGTTCTAAACTATACATTCTTTTTTTAATAAAATTATAAATCTGAAATTTAAGCTGAAGAGAGCAGCTTTGTCAGGTTTACAATTGAAGTCTGAATATGCAGTCATATGTCCATGTGCCCGCTGACATAAATGTTATTTTTCCGAGATGTTTCTTTGGTCATATAAAATAGGCAAAATAACAAGTGATCAGTCCAACCATTCATGAATCACCTACGCACCTTATTTTGATCATTTTTGCCAAAATTCTAAGATGGTGGACAAACCATGTGACTGATAAATATGTATTCCCATAGTGTATTCAATCAATCAAACTTCTAGAAGTTAGGTGCGGCATTTCGTATAGTACAAAAAGTTTCAAAAATCAAACAGGCAATGATGTTAAATGGCTGAGGAAGATAACAGCTGCAGACCTTGTCATTGGGGTTCAAGCGGAAGCACATACAATGTTATAGTAAGATCTGATAATTTGCATTAAGGTCAACTGGCAGATTGTTTTCTGTTGTGTAGTGCCATCCATAAGCAATCATTGCAAGCATCTATAGTGAAATTATTACCAAAAGTAAACAATGTACATTTTGGCTATTTTTTAGAAACCATTTATTTTTCTTGTAAAAGGCGTACTACATACATACTGCGAGCAAGATATCAAGTTGATAATTAATGAACTACAATTGCTCAAGAAGCTTTGGCTGTACATGCTATATACAAGTTAACAAGTTGATTGTTTGATTGAAGCATTCATGAGAAATAAATGCCTAAAAGTTTTGTCAAAAACTAGAGTTTAAATTAATTTTATTTTTCTTGTAAAATACGTTTGTAATACATGTCAGATATAATGTTTATATCTTAAAGAGCTCATAAAAAATAAGCACACAATATTTGCCTTTTTTCACTGACATTTAAAGATAGCGGTCAAACTACGTGACTATTTTTTTAGTAGTCTGAAAGAGTTCGATATAGAGAAGCAAAATGGCAAATGTCAAAATAATCACATAACTGTGGAACCACTCCTTGTTTTCATATTCTATCCAATATTTTCTATTTTACCCCAAAGGTTGCTTAAACCGGTGCATAGAAGGAATATATCGCGACGACTGCGTGGTTTGTGTTTGTGAAAACGACGTTGTCATAGCGACAGTTAATGATATAGCAGGTCGACCAGTGCACAATGTTCGCATTTCAAGATCAGAACAGCCTCATGCTACTGTGGCTACAACAGATGAAAATGGTCAATTTAGAATAGATGGTGTTTGTATATATTCGTCTGTACTGATTGTGGAAAAAGAGCAATTCTTAACGAAACGTGTGAATACATCAACTTCATCGGTTGAAACCAATCTCGGTGGCAGAATTGCGTCATTGAACATAAAAATTGATAGAATAGGTGAGTATAGAATGCCACGTAACACTCAAAGTCAGAGACAAAATCATTGAAAAATAGAATGCGGAAAAGATGTTCTTGTGGATTGTTTTGACGTTTTTGCAATTTCCCTATACTACTTTTATCCTAAGGTTACGAATAGGTATGTTATTTCTATTTTATAACACTGTCAAACATACTAAGCAGCAATGGGAAATACAAGAATCTTATAAATATTGCAAAATATTTTGTATTATACGGTTATATACGGCAAAATTGTTTCATAAGCCAACAATTTGGGATACGCCATAGTTTGTCATCAATAAAAACAAAGTTTCTCTACATTGCATTACAAGCACTCTGCATTATTTATAAAGTGGCCAACATTCAATATAATATTACCATTATTTTCTCAACATAATGCCCATATATTCACCGGAAGCACATTTATTGCAAACTCGATAAAAGCTGTGTTTGTTTATTTATGAACAGATTTTTAAAATGAAATAGTAAAAATTAAACTTGCGTGTTTTGCCTCTAGTTTAATAATTATTTTTCAAATTTGTAATTTTTTTCAAAATTGTTTAGAGCCTCTAAGAATAACAGACCATCCCGAGGACCAAGTTAGTTATACTGGACAGAATGTATCATACTATTGTTTAGCACAGAGTAACCCACAACCAACATACTACGAATGGTAGGTTGTTAAATTTATTTATATACTTATATAACCGACAGTGAGTAATGTGTATGAAATTATTATTTCAAATAATACCAAGAATTTTGTCATATTTAAAAAAAATTTTCAATCCTGTAATCAATAGGAAATATGTTTCTTAATTAACAAATACCTAAATTACGTGCAATATACTATATTACAATAGGATGTGATGGTGTGCCACTGAAATGTGTAACACAGTTTTTTTTTTATATTATAGGTTTAAGGATGGAATTATAATTGACGAAGTCGTTTACGGACACAACAATCTGCTATACCTATATAATGTTAGTAAATCTGACGAAGCCCTGTACACATGTCGAGCCAATAGCGAAGTAGGATCTATGTATTCACTTGGAGCATCACTTACTGTAATTGGCAAGTTATGAATTCATCATTAGGTGTCATGGTTAGGTGACTGGCTGTCTGAATTCCACTTGATAGGAGTCGAAGTGGTAAACTAGCTGAACGTAAATTTAAAATGAAATCTTCTGGACTAAGACATCATTATCGTTCGTAACATGACGCCTCAACATTTAAATCCAGTATCAGTTCCCATTTGGCTAATACCTGGTCTCAGTGTTTTTATAAAACAAATACATGAATTTCACTCGACAAACATACTAATCAATACCGCGTGTGTACAAATACATTGGTCGAATCTATCATATGCCGCACAAATGAGTGTGCATCTTATTGTTCAAAAGTGACAAGACATCAAATCTGGCAGTACCCTTTCGCTATTGTAAAGACAATATGTATGTTGTTTCAAAATATACTAGTAGTCTTAATTACAATTAGCTTTTAATAGAGCGAGGTTTGCATAATTACTCTATCACTGTATTCCAGTTCACATGATCTATCACACTTACGCTAAGACAATACGTATGGAATATGAAATATGGTTCAATTAAACTGTTGTTGTAATGTGGACTGTATGTCGTTCGATACTGTTGAAAAAACAACCTTATTAGTTGTATGTGAATTAATTCAAAATAATGTTTTTTTTTAACAGAATCGGATGAGGAAATTTGTAATCCAACGCCTAAACAAGAATTAATAGAACTGCCTGAAGAGTGCAGAGATGTTTCGTCTGAGAAACGTTACTATAACATTGGTAAATGTAGCAACAAACTTTGTCCTGGTTGCCAGGATACCATTTGCAGTATATCACAAGATAATTGTTGCATACCTCTGTTACACAGTACACATAACATATCATGTGATACGTTTGACATGTCAGTGTCTGTAATAACTCGATGCAGTTGTGGTCCATGCTCAAAACAACAAGT